CCGCCGCCGCCGCCGCATCCGTGCCCGCCCAGCCCCAGCGCCAGATCCGCCTCTTCACCCTCGACGACGTCGCAAAGCACGACCGCCCCGACGACTGCTGGCTCATCCACCGCGGCAACGTCTACAACGTCTCCGAGTTCGTCGAGGACCACCCGGGCGGAGACGACCTCATCCTCAGGTTCGCCGGCAAGGACATGGGCGAGATCATGGACGACCCCGAGGAGCACTCCCACTCCGACTCGGCCTACGACGTCCTAAACGAGTACCTCGTCGGCCGCCTGCCAAAGACGCCCGAGGAGGAAAAGCTCCTCGCAGACCGCGACAGCAACGCAAAGGCCAACGGCGGCGGCGGCGCAAAGTTGGCTGCCGGAGAGTATTCGGGCAAGGACGACAGCATCATCATCACCGCCGACTTCCACCCCGACGAGACCGACGGCTCGGCCGACTTCCACAAGCACCACTTCCTCGACCTTTCGCGCCCCCTCATCCCCCAGATGTGGAACGCCACCTTTTCAAAGGAATTCTACCTCGAGCAGGTCCACAACCCGCGCCACCTCAAGGAGCCCGCCCGCCTCTTTGGGCCCGACTTCCTCGAAATGTTCACGCGCACCCCGTGGTACGTGGTGCCCATGATCTGGGTCCCCATCGCCGCCGCCATCTTCTACCGCTCCGCCACCCAATTTGCCGTCCGCAACGCCGCCCACGAGCTCGCCGCCGCCCACGCCGGCCTCAAGGGCGGCTCGGCGCTGCCCCTTTCGCTCGCCTCGTCGTCGGCGTGGAGCGTGGCCGTGACGCAGACGTTTGCGTGCTGGGCGGCGGGCGTCGTCATCTGGACGCTGCTCGAGTACACGCTGCACCGCTTCCTCTTCCACATCGACGACGTGCTGCCCGACCGCCCCTTTTTCCTCATGCTCCACTTTCTCCTCCACGGCGTCCACCACTACCTGCCCATGGACCGGCTGCGGCTCGTCATGCCGCCCCTCCTGTTTTTCGTGCTGAGCTACCCCTTCACCCAGCTCGCCCACACCCTCTTCCCCAACCGCATCGCCAACGGCCTCATCTCGGGCGCCTTTAGCATGTACGTCGTCTACGACTGCATGCACTACGCGCTCCACCACACCAAGCTGCCGCAGTACATGCGCGAGATGAAGCAGTACCACCTCGAGCACCACTACAAGAACTTTGAGCTCGGCTTTGGCGTCACCAGCAAGCTCTGGGACTATGTCTTTGGCACCATGCTCTGAGCGGGGCCTCGTTCGGTGAGGCCTGGAGATGCAGGACGGCGCGGCGCGGCGCGGCGCGGGCTGAGCTAGGCTCCGCTAGGTCTCGCGCCTTGCTCCCGGCCCCCTCCCACTTTCTTTCTCGCGTCGTCGTCGGCTGGACCGCGCGCGCACTTCCTCGTCACCACCACCACCACCACCACCACCACTCCCCCTCTTCATCGTCCCTACCGCATAGCCACTGCCACCGCCGCTCTCAGCTTCATTGTCACACCGCCCCGCCATGCCATGCCACGCACGCAGCCTCTGTAGATATCCCGCGCCTCATCGCACCCATGTGCCGGCGTCCCTTTTCATCTTAATCGCCTTCTCTCCTGGACACACCAAACTGTTGTGTCGATGGGCTGGATGCGCTGGGATGCGATGCGAGGCTCGATGGATCCCAAGCCAGCTTTGGCACACGCCCGGTGTCGCAACACCTCGCCTCGCACTTCCACACCACTGCGGGCCTGCAGTTGTGACTCTGGCAGTTTGATTTCTCCCCCCTTCTCTTTCTACACATCCCAGGCCCTTGCCTCTTCGCAGGCAACGACGACGAAGCTAGATCGACTCGGAGCGTAGGAAGTCTGTGATCCTGTCGAGGCCCTCCTGGAGCTCCTGGGTATTTCCGACGTAGCCGATGCGGATCCAGCCCTGCCAGTCGAAGCAGGTACCGGGCGCGACGAGTACGCCGGCGCGGTCGTGGAGACGCATGCAGAAGTCGTCTGCATCCACCTCGTCGGTCGCCGCCGTTCGCTCTCCACCCCGCGCCGCCGCCGCTGCGGTTCGAACCAGACGGAGCAGCGCAGTGGTACCGGCCTGGGTGGGGACCCATTCGACCTGGGGCGTCTTCTCGATCCAAGCCTCGAGGATGGCGCGGTTGGTCCTTGCGAGATGGGTGTTGCGTTCGAGAATCCTTTGGGCGACGCGCGGGTGCAGCGCCCGCGCGGCGATGGCGTCGTCGACCATCGAGACGCTGATGACGTTGTAGTCGCGTCGCTGGGCAAAGGCCTCGATGAGGTCGGAGCGCGGCGTCGCGATCCACCCGACGCGGATACCGGCGAGGCTGAAGGCCTTGGACAGGCTGCCCGTGGCGATGGCGTGCGCGTAGCCCGTCTCGAGGATGGAACACGGTGGCGCACCGTCGGCGTCGTCGGAGGTGGGGAGCGAGTGGAAGAGAGGTCGGTACACCTCGTCCGAGAGGATGATGCAGCCTGGCGCGGCGCGGGCCTTGACGGCCTCGACGATGGCGTCGAGCGTGGACCGCGAGAGGGCCTGGCCGGTCGGGTTGTTTGGGTTGTTGAGGATGACGAGCGACGTCGTGGGGCGCAGCAGTGAGGCCAGGCGGTCGACCGAGAAGCGCCACCCGTCGGCAGGATCGAGCCGGCACAGATCGACGTCGGCGCCCAGGCTGCGCGGCACCTCGAAGAGCGACTGGTAGGTCGGGTGCACGCAGACGACGTGGTCGCCGCGCTTGACGAGCGAGAGCTCGACGAGAAAGTTGGCGCCGATCGCACCTTGCTGTGCGGTCAGAGTGGTGGGAAAACGTGGAGCGGGAGGTGGAGCAGCGAGACGACTGAGTTGCTGCTCTGGGCTGAGACCGACGCTGCGACACCCGTGGCGACGGGACTCACAGTGACGAGGACATTGTCCGGGCCGAGAGATCCGTCAGCGACGGCGGCGGGGTAGAGGCTTGCGATGTTCTGCCGGAGCTCCGGGCTGCCGCGGATATGGCCGTAGGTGAGGCGCTTTCCGCTCAAGGCGGCGAGTGTGGGCTCTTCGATTCCGGCCTGCCTGGAGAGGTGGTCGAGGTCGTGGAGCGAGATCGAGTCGCAGCACGTCTCTGCGAGGTTGTGGGTGCATGTCGTCTCGTACCGGTCCATCCACTGCTCGACCTTGAACACGGGCAGGCTGGCCATCTTTGCGGGATCGGCAGGCGGTGGTGGAATGCGAGTCAGCGGAGAGCGGTGCGTTGAGGTGCTAGGGGGGCGTAGGCGATGGTGTAGAGGGATACGAGGGGAGACGGTAGGGCGATGGTGGCCTTTATAGCGAGCGTCGAGGCGGCCAGGAGGGGAGGGGCTAGAGCGAGAGGCCAGGGTGCGGCCTCTTGGCCGGCTATGTGGCTGGCCCGGCCACCGAGAGCCAGAGGGACCCTGGGTGGGACCCGCTGGCTGCACAGGCCCAGTCAGTGGGGCTCAGAGTCCCGAATTCCGGCCAGTCGACACGGCACCGCGAAGAAAAAGAGGTTGGCTGACAGACGGCGGCTTGCTGGCCTGCCCACTGGCCAGGGGTGGGCTCCTTAGCCTCGCTGCCTCCTCGCTCCTGGCTCCCTCCGCACCCACACCCACCACCACCACCACCACGCTCGCCCAGCTTAGACACCATCTCTACCGACATCGCCACCCCGATATCGACATCCACCGTCGCTGCATCTCTGTGGCCTGCCGCCGTCGTCCGCCACCTCTCGCCCGCCAAGCTAAGCCAAGCCAGCTCAAGCCATGGACGAATGACAACCTCGCTCCTTCCTCGCCTCTTGATCCTTCGACCCAGATTGCCATCGCTCCCGGCACGTCTGCATCCAGCTGCTACAACCAACTTTGCCTGCGCTTCTCGTGCTCATCCTGCCCCTCGTCTCAAGTGCCACAGCACCGCGCCTCTACTTTTGCAGCAGCAGCAGCCTTGCAGGACCTCACAACGCCGACAGTGCACCGGTTCCACTGCATCCGCACTCACCTCCTCGCCCCTTCACACCGCGGTCCAGCCGGCCAGACCCAACGCCAACATGCTGGCAGACATGCGCATCCTCACCGCCCCCTCGTCCGACACCCCCCTCCTCCCACCCGTCATGCTCCAGTTCGGCGCAGACCGCTACCTCTTCAACGCCGGCGAAGGCACATCCCGCTCCTGCACCCAGCGCAAGGCAAACCTCAGCAGGGTCACAAACATCTTTGTCCCGCGCATCGGGTGGGAGGCCATCGGCGGCCTGCCCGGCGTCCTCATGTCCCAGGCCGACGGCAACCGCACCGCATCGAGCGTACACGGCCCCGCCAACCTCTGCTACGCCCTCGCAACCATGAGGACCTATGCAAAGCGCGACACCATGCAGCTACACGTAAACGAGCTTCCCGCGCACCTCCCACCATCCTCGAGAGCAGGTACTGCGCCCAAACCCTTCTACGAGGACCAGAACGTCATCGTCCATGCCGTGCCTCTGCTGCCACAGAGCTTCACCGCCCCGGCCCCCAGCAGCAGCAGCAGGAGCTGGATGAGGCCCCTGGTCAGCTGGCCAAGAGACCGAGACTCGACAACGAAGCTCAGGCCGACGAGGCCGCCGTCGAGGGTGTCCGGAGCAGGTGGAGGAGGCCCAGCTGGAACCCGGCCAAGCTCAAAGGGGACGAAGCGCAGGCCTGGATCCGCATGGTCGCAGACAGCCTCTTCAATGACTCGCTCCTCGAAAAGCGCCAGAGGGCGTCCGACCAGGGCGTCGAAATTGCCGACCTCGACACCGAGGCCCAGTACAGCGCACCAGGCTGGAAGCCGCCGCGGACGCCTGCGTTCGTCATCAGCCAGCTGCCCGACAATCCCCTAGACCTCATCGCTCGCAACGGCAGCGGCGACGTGGCCAGCGCACCTTCCGGCGAGCAGGGCGGTCAAGCGCCGGTGCTCGCCTTCATCTGCGAGGCGCACCCGCAGCGCGGCAAGTTTGACCCTGCCAAAGCCCTCGAAGCCGGCGTTGTTCCCGGCCCGAGCTTCGCCGCTCTGACTCGTGGAGACGATGTCCAAGTCTCGCGGCCAAAGAGCTGGGCCCAGATGGACGCTCAGTCGCGCAAGAGGTGGAGCGACAAGCAAAGGGTCGCCCAGTACGGCGGCAAGCGTGGCGGCGGCGCAAGATCGGCAGCCAAAAAGAACGCTGCTACCCAGGGGTCGAAGGGTGCGGCTGAGACCGACTCGGAGCCAGCAGAATGGGCCGACGTCGAGTCGGTCACCATCCGCTCGCAGGACGTCTTGGGACCGTCGAGGGCTGGCGCCGTCTTCATGCAGATTTACCTGCCCTCGGCTGCCTACATCCCCTCGCTCCTCTCTGCCGAGTCGGACGGCGCCTTTGCCGCCTACGCTGCCGGTGCCAACGTCGACAAGCCCGCCGAGCAGCACCGCATGCCCCACGCCATCGTCCACGCCGTGCCGCTCGAGGTGCTGCGCGACGAGCGCTACCAGCAGTGGATGGCCCGCTTCGGGCCAGACTGCCACCACATCCTCTGCAACGACGACGTCTGCGCCAACAAGCTCATGTTCCCCTCGAGCTCGACGATCCCCCTGCGCCTGTCGAAGCTCGACCAGCAGCTCTTCCGCGTGCCCCAGTACCAGCTGGCACCGCGGGTCTCGCTTGACGAGCTCCGCAAAGGCTCGCCCACCCTCGCCTCGCTGCAGCTTGTGGCGGCAGAGGCTGACCAGCTGGTCCAGCTCCACCCGCGCGGCGCGCCGAAGCGCCACCGGTCCGGCGCGCCCGACTTTGACTTTGCGCTCGGGTCCGACGAGGCGGAGCGGATGGCTTCGTTCCAGCTCGAGGCGGTCGACGAGTCCGAGGAGCAGCGCGCCCAGACCGACAAGCTCAAGGACAAGAACCGCAAGGCGGCCGGCAAGGGCGCCAACGGCGCCAGCCCAAAGGACAAGGCGATCGAAAGCGCGGAGCTCGGGTTGGTGCGGCAGGAGCGGCTGCAGGAGGCGCGCAAAAAGGCGTGGTCCGACTACCTCGAGGCTGTCGAGACCACGCGGCGGCAGCTGCAGCTTGAAGGCGGAAATGCGGGCGGAGCGAGCGTGGCGCCTGCCGACGACGTGCTCATCACCACGCTCGGCACGGGCAGCGCCTCGCCGTCCAAGTACCGCAACGTCATTTCGACGCTGGTCCAGACGCCCAGGGACGGCAACATCCTGCTCGACGCCGGCGAGGCGACCTACGGCCTGCTGAAGCGCAAGTTTGGCTGCGATCGCGACGGCACCTCGGCCGAGGTCAACTCGGACAAGGGCGAGGACGTCGACGCGATCCTGCGCAACCTGCGCTGCCTCTTTATCAGCCACATCCACGCCGACCACCACATCGGGCTGATCCGGCTCCTCGTCGAGCGCCGCAAGCTGCACCCGCGGCCCGCAGCGCCGCTCCACCTCGTGGCGACGAGCTTTGTGCACACCTACCTGCGCGAGTACGCGAGCATCGAGGACCTCGGCCTCGACGACGACGTGGTGCTGCTCAACAACGAGTTCCTCGACTACCGCACCGGCGTCGACCCGCTGCCGGACTCTTCGGCGGCCTCTGCCAAGGGCCAGGCAGTCGGCAAGGCGGTTGCGGGGCAGGCGCGGTCTCGCCACGTCGAGCTGAGCGCCGACGCCAAGGCCGCGCTCAACCTGAGCTACCTGCACACGGCGCGGGTGCACCACCGCGGCTCGCACTGCTACGGCCTGGTGGTGCGCCACGCGTCGGGCTGGTCGCTGACCTACTCGGGCGACACGCGGCCGTCGGACGAGCTGATCGCGGCGGGCCGGGGCTCGACGGTGCTGATCCACGAGGCGACGCTCGAGGACAGCCAGCTGACGATGGCCATTGCCAAGGGCCACTCGACGTTTGGCGAGGCCATCGACGTCGGACGCCGGATGGACGCCGACAACCTCCTCCTCACCCACTTTTCGCAGCGGTACCCCAAGATGGCGCGCTCCTCGCTCTTTGCCGCATCGTCGTCGGCCGCGGCGTCGGCACCGGCACCTGCCAACGGCGACCGAGTGCTGCAGCCGGCAACCGAGCACGGGACGGCCAAAAAGATGCCGATCGCGCTCGCCTTTGACCTGGTCACCTACCCGCTGAGCAAGTTTGGCACCATCCAAAAGTACACGCCGGCGCTCGAGGCGCTGTTTGCGGCCGACTTTGACGAGGATGCCAACGATGTTGAGATGGGCGAGGGCGGTGGTGATGCCGCAGCCGAGGGGCAGGTGGCGGCGGCGGCCAATGGGCAGGGCGGGACGGACACGGCGCGGCAGAAGCCATCTGCGACGCCGACGCCGACGCCGATGCCGATGGACGTCGATGACAAGAGTCAGTAGCACCCTCTCTCCCCGCCTTACCTCCCCCTTTGCGCACCATGCACCCCCATTCTGGGCTGTAGACAACGAGACGACGATGGACAGCTGAACGAATGATCCACACCCCCCCTCGTTTTTTGCCGATCGATGCCGGCACAGACCCGCCGTCATCTGCACCTCCTCCCGCGACGGCCGCATCTGGTGCACCAGTGACGGAAGCGACCAAGACGAAGCGAGCGAGGGCGAGGGGTGACACGGCGCAACGCAAATCGTTCCACCCGACCGAGTTCCACTACCTCTCTCTGCGCTTGTAAGTCGCCATGCCCATCCCCATCCCCATCCCCACCCTCCTCCTCGAGGCTCCTCCTCCTCTTCGCAGGGTATGGTTCAGTACGATACTGATCCCTTCCCCTCTTCATCCCTCGCTGCGGCGCGGTGCGGTGCGGTGCGGTAGTACGCCCACCCTGCCCATCGCCACACTCGAAGCACCCAGTACGGAAGCGAGGGCATGGCTCCGCACCACGATGCGGCAAACCATCACATCTACCCTCGTCAATGCACTGGTCCGACTGAGCCTGGACCAACTCGTCGGTCTGGTCGGAGGCGCGCTGCCCATTGATATCCTCGACATCTCCCCCTTTCCCTCTGTCGAAATGGTGGTGCAGGCGTTTCTTAGGTGTCCCGCCCGGTACCGTTGACCCCCCCCCCCCCCCCCCCTCCTCCTCTTCGCTTTCATCGAGATGAGATGGGCCGGGATCCTGATCTCCCTTGTTTGTATCTCCCTCGGTGAGGGAAAAAAAACAGGTACGCCACGCATCTAGCAACCGCCCTCTCCATCGGACCGGATGGCAATATCCTCCCCCTCCTCAATGTCCCATCGCACATCCCCCTCCTTCCCCCATCCTCCTCATCCTCAACAACGACAACGACAGTAAGGGTCAAGTACACCGTCGTCGGACCGTCACCTTGCCTACTGGCGCTGCAGGCACAGTGCGATAGTCGAGGCTTTTCGTGGCCGCGCACTTTGTCCTAGTCTCTTCCCCCCTCCCCCCCTTCCCCCTCCCCCCCCCCCCCTTTCCCCACTCGGACTCCTTCCCGTTTTGGTCGTGGTCTGACTTGGGTCTCGTAGTCGGGCTTCATGACCGCTCAACCCCCCCTGGCTGGTCATCGATTGGCGTCGAGTCTTTATCTCGCACCTCGCTCTCAGCCCTCCCGTCCAGTCGCGCACACACCAACGTCAGAAGGTGCGAAAAAAAGGGAGACGTCCTCTGTCGCATTGCGATCAAGGCGCGAAGAAATGGGGGGGAAAGACAGGTATTCGTAGGAAACGGACCAGGTCGAATGGCCATGAAGGCGGCAAAGGGACAACGTCAATAGACACCTTGCCTTGCGGCAAATGGAAGGACGAGGACGACTGGGGAGAATCTACGAGGGACGTGGATAAGAAAAGACGAGGATCGAGGCGGAGGATGCAGGATGCAGGTACTGTTCGTGAACAGGGGGCCGTAGGCGTAGGGGCGAGAAGGGCAGCCGGAGATGCACACAGGTGCCTGGCGCGACGAGACGAGGCGAGGCGAGGCGAGGCAACACGTCCCGCTCAGAGGACGGCGACGGCGGCAAAGAGGCCGGCGACGAAGAGGAGCGCCGGGCCGAGGAGCTGGTGGCTCGAGAGGGCGCCCGAGCTGCTGCCGGTCGAGCTGCCGCTGGAGCCGGAGCCGGTGGCCGAGGCGGCGGCGGCCTTCTTGGACGTCGACATGCCTGCGCCCGTGGCGCCGGCGGCCTTGGCCGTCGACGACGACGAGCTCTTGACGAGGCTGGCGATGCCGTTCTTGATCGTGTCGGTGGTGACGCAGTTGCTCGTGGCGGGCGTCGAGTAGGCGGCGGTGGGCGTGACCTGGTCGGCGGCGCCGTTGGTAAAGGCCATCGTCTTGCCGTCGACGACGTACTGTCCGGTAAAGAACTGCTGGAAGGTCGACGTGGAGCCGTCGCCCTGCGGGTAGATGCCCGGCGGGTAGGCGGCGTCGCCGTCGCACGTCTCAAACATGTTGTCCTGGTAGTTGCCCGGCATGACCCAGTTGCAGCCCATCTCGTCGAGCGTGTGCTGGCACTCGAGCGACGTGGGCGCCTGGTCGCTGCCGGCGATGCAGATGCGGAAGCACACCTGGTTGTACGAGATGTAGTTCATCCACTCCTCGTAAAAGACGTCCTTGCCCGAGACGTTGGAGGTGACGTTGCCGCCGACGGGGTTGCCCATCTCGGTGGCGCCGTGCGGGTCCAGCTCGCCGCCCTCGTCGCCGGCGACGAGGCCAATCTTGGTAAAGTCGCCGCTGGCCATGATCTGGACGTAGAGGGGCGTCTTGACAAAGTGGGCGCCCGTGATGGTGCCGTCGGGCTGTGCGGCGTCGGGGCAGGTGAGAAAGGGAGGACGAGGGCAAGAGGGGCGGAGAGGTCCGGACGTGAGCAAAATGAGGACAAGGAGCCAGTCTCGAGCCAGGGACAGCATCTCACGACCAATGACACGAGCGGGGGGAAGAGGACACGTACAATGACACGGGCGTTGTTCCTGGGCTGGGTGCAGTAGGCCACGGTCTCGCCCTCGACGTTTCCGATGGGCTGGTCGTTTCCGGGTGGGCCAAAGGTGCACCAGTCGGTGACGCTGTTGATCGAGACGAGGCGTGCGTCGGACTGCTGGTTGATGGGGGTGTTGAGCTGGGGCGCCTTTGGGTTGGTGGGTCCGTTTTTGGCGGTGCTCTGGACGCCCGGGTAGTTGGGCGAGGGGTTGCCGTAGGAGAACTTGGGCGGGTTGGCGCTGTCGGCCGAGGCGGCGGCGGCGGCGCCGTTGGCCATGGCGGCGAGGCCCACGAGGGCACCGAGCGACTTTGCGAGCATGGTGAAGCGGGGCTAGCGAGAGCGAAGGGAGACGGTAGAGACTGTGGGTGCGAAGACTGCGGCGAGTCGTTCGAGGGGGATGGTGGTGGTGGTGGTGGTGGTGGTGGTTGGGCGAGTGAAGCAGGAGAAGCAGCAGGGAGGGGAAGAGGGAGACGGAGATGGAGATGATAGAGGAGGGGGGGGGGGAAGATAGGGGAGGGCGAGGGAAGAGGAGCGAGGGGAGAGGAGGGCAACGAGCCAGGGGGGCCTCGGGCTGGCCGGCGGCAAGTGGGTTGGGCAGGGAGGCCAGAGAGCCGGTCGAGCGGCGACAAGCAGAGTAGTGCCACGACGGCCGCGACCAACGATCGGCACGCTGGCCGTCCGAGGTACGGTAGCTCCTTGGGGGCCTGTTTCTCCTGTCACGGCCAGGCCTCGCCTCTGTTGCATCGTCTCGCTCGCTGGTCACGTACTGTAGGGCCCCCGCCGCGGCCGGCGGTCCTGCCCAGCCTGCCTGCCCACCCGGCAAGACCCACCCACGCTAGGGCGCAGCAACCACGCCGCAAGCCACTCGTCTGGCCTGTGTGGGCCCTGGCAGCACGTACGCCCGTTGCCCCGCCTGGCCAGGCCTCTTCTGTCCGCCGTCTGGGAGGCGAGTACGTACAGCCAACTGCGGGGGCGGTGCGGCGCATCTCTCTGATCTCCTTGCCCGTCATCGCTCTGGCCGCCTAGGCTGGTTGGCTGGCTGGCTGGCGGGCGCTTCGTCGGTGGGCCTGCTCGTTCGAAGAACAGGCTAGGCTAGGCCGGCGGAAGCAGCTCAAGTAGTCATGGATGTACAATAATAGGCGCCGGGATCCAGACGTCGGACGTCCGAGCGAGGACATCGAGCGCGCTAGAACCGTCGACTCGTCGGCAGGCCAAAGCCACCGCCGTATCGCAAACCATGAGGCCTAGTAGGCAGCCAGGCAGCAACCCAAAAAGGCCAGCGGCGGAGGCGGCGGCGGTGGTGCCGACACCTCGAGGCAAAGAGGCAGGCTAGGCAAGCACACGGCCGGCCGGGCTGGCACGCAAACGACGCCCTGCCAGCGTGCCAAACGGCAGGCGGCGGCGGCGGCGGCGGCAGACAGCGCTGGACAGCGGCATGGGCGGGCGCTCGCCGGCGGCATCTCTGCAGCAGGCTAGAAATCAAACGCAACGCCCAAAAAAGAAACACGCACGCACGCCGCACCAACCCACCCGAGCATCCAGGCCCCAGCAGCCAGGCCCAAGCAAGCAAGCAAGCAAGCAAGCTAAGGCGCGGGGGCCGCACCAAACCGGCTCGGCATCGCGCATCGTCGCGCCAGAAGCAACCACGCAGCAGGCTCGCTCTCGCCTGGCCTCGAGGCCTCTGGCAGCGCAGAAAACCGATCGAAAACCGTAGAGGGCGTCGATGGGGCCCGCCGCTCACTCGGCATCGCAGCGCATCGCCCCTCGGCCTGGGCGGACCCGATCCTTCTTTGGGCTGCGACGACGACCTCGCGCCCCGCACTCGCTCGCCCTTGCCAACAGGTCATCATCGGGGCCGACGCGGCCACGGTAAGGTTTGTCTACACTCTGCCTCGCTGCACGCACGCACGCACGCACGCACTTGGGCTCGCACGTTGTGCCGTCGTGCGGACAAGGACCTGGTGGCCTGGCCGGCAGCAGCGTGCTCGACCGCGGCGTGTGTATGTACGTAGCGTGCTGGGATGCGCATGCACGGCGCCCTGGTGCATGGGCCGAGCCGCCGGCACCGCCCCAAACGCGGGCGCACAAGGTCGCATCCATGCGCTGCCTGGCCGCTCAGCTGGGTCAGGCAGGGCGGCAAACCTAACTCTCCCGGCCGACAAGAGAGCCGAGGGCCCTCGTCGGCTCCGAGGTGGACGCTCGCCCTCGTCGTTTCACGCTGGGCAAGACCCTGCTGCCGCTGGACGGGCGGCTGGCCACGGTGACGTCTGTCAGCCAGGCCAGCCAAGGCCAGACCAGGCCAGTCAAGGGCTCCACGTCGACGGCCCAAACTTTTTCCCTGCCGTGGAGCTGCCTCCTCTCTCGCACCTCCACCACCCTCACCCTCAGCCTCGCCCTGGGGTCATCGACAAGAGGCGCCGCTCCTCTCTCTCCCTCCCTCCCTCCCTCGCTTCCTCCCCTCACCATACCATCCACACCACCACCCTGCCACATCCACCGAGACACCCGGCGCACCACAACACATTCGCCTCACTCGCCTGGCATCGTTGCTCTACCGCGAAATCCCTCCTCGTCGTCCTTGCGTCCAGCGCAGTCCAGCACAGGCCAGCCCACTCCAGACCACTCCCCAAATGGACGGACCACTCCCCGACTACTACCGCACCCTCGGCGTCTCTCCCACGGCATCGGCGGCAGAGGTCAAGGAGGCCTACAAGCGCGCCTCGCTCCGCACCCATCCCGACCGCTTCCCAAACGCAACCCCCCAGGAGCGACAGCGCTACACCCAGCGCTTCCAGACCCTCGCAGACGCCTACTACGTCCTCTCCGACTCCCAGCGCCGCCGCGAGTACGATCAGCTCCGCTCCTCCCGCCCCTCGTCGTCCTTCTTCTCCTCGGCCTCGTCCGAGGAAGACGACGACTTTTCGGAAAAGGAGCAGGGCGCCAGCGCAAACTTCTTCGAAAGCTTCTTCCGCGGCGCCTTTAGCTCAGACGCGCCAAAGACCGAGTCCGACGACGGAAGCTCGGAGCGCGCCAACCCCAACCAGCCCCAGGCAGACGGCGTCTTTGCCGACGTCTTCGAGGAGCTCCTCCGTCCAGAGGTACAGCGCGTCGCCCCCTTCTGGAAGTGGGTCGGCGGCGCTTCCGGCGGAGCCCTCGGCTTCATCGTCGGCAACGTCCCCGGCGCCCTCGGCGGCGCCTTCCTCGGCGGTCAGCTCGGCCGCATCCGCGACGCAAAGGGCAAGAGCGTCGCCGAAGTCTTTATGGGCCTGGCTGCCGGTCAGCGCGCCGAGGTCCTCACCCGCTTGCTCCAAAAGGTGCTGGCCAGCCAGAGCTCGCCGCAGTGATGAGCGCCCTTGCCCCCACCGTGGATGCGGCTGCCGAGTCATCCTCGCCGCCAGAGCCGCACGACCAGCCGCAAGATGTCCAGGACCACTCCCTCCAACACCCTCAGCCTTCATCAAACCCTTTACCCCCGCAACCGCAGACGCAGACTCCGCCGGGCGTTGCCGGGCCTGCTCGAGGAACAGTCCCGAAGCAGCCGCGCTACTCGACCATCTATGACCTCGCAGCGGGAAGATGGTCGAGGGCGAGCCACTCGAAGCTAGCGATCGGCAGCGCCCGGAACGGCCCCTCTGCCGCGCAGCTGTCCAGCCCGCATCTCGTCCACCGAGGTTCGACCATCGACCCAGCACCGACGGCAGCGAAGCCGCAGCGAGCTGGTGGCCAGGATGCCCATATGCAGCTTGTTAGCGACAGCCTGTTGCTGATCCGCGACCAGAACGGCGACTACCGTGGGCCGGTCGCGGGTCCGTCGGCGCTCGGCCGGCAAAAGGCCGCCACCAGCGACACGGCCTGGCGAGATGCGGACCGAATGTCAACATCGCGATCGACCCACATTCCAGCACACGTTGACGCTGCTCGCGTCCGCAGCACTCTCACCAACCGCGACTATGAGCGCGCCCGCGATCGCGACCGGAGAGCCAAGGTCCGCTCCCGCTCTCGGCACCGTCAGCGCATCGGCTCGACGTCTCGGCTTGGGTCAGAGTCGGCTGCTGCATCCAGCGCCGCTGACATTGATGCAGAGGCAGTAGTCGACGGTGTCGATGCCTTGCGACGGGACGTCGGAGCCCCCATCCTGTATGAAGACGATGACCTGTGGAACATGCGCGAAGAGCAGCGCTACCTCGAAGACGCCTACGGATGGACGGCACCCGATACCACCGAACCCTCGCCGGCCATGCCCGACTCGTCGCTCATGGAGTGCCTGCACCATCACGCCGCGCAGTACCTGCACCGGGCGGGTCACCTTGGACCGTGGTCCGAGGCTGCGATGATACGACCCGCTCTTGTATCCAACGGCCGCTTGGCCGGTGCGACCCAGGATACGGGCCCGAGGCACAGCGATGACGAGGAGAATGTTCAGCATGGAGACTCTCGCTCGCGCTCCGGCGAAACTGCGAGTTCCGGGCATGTCCGCAGCCAGTGGCTGCAGCACCTGGTCGGTCATCGCAGCGACATGCACCGGCGGCTCGATCCGAGCGCTCTCGTGGCGCTCGCCGTCTTTGTCGAGGAGTACGTGGCGGCCATGGTGGAGCCGGCCCTTCGAGACCGCCAGCTGTTGCGGGACAAGCAAGCGCCGCAGCAGACGCTGCCAGCCGAGGAGACCGATGCGACGCGCTTCTGGCAGGAAGCCCTCCTCGCCGAACATGCCGACCAGGAGGCGCCCTTGGAGGGCCAGCTCGACAATCAACAGCCTTTGCAGAACGACTCGACGGCGACAGCAGCGGCTGATCCATCGCCTCAGGGTACCGATCAAGCCGGCGCTGAAGGCACCGAGGCTGCACATTCGCACATGCCGGCATTGGACGATGTCGATCAAAGGCACCCGTCAGACTCCGCGGCTGCCCTGCGACGCCGCCAGCAGCGCCTGGCGAGGCTCGAAGCCAGGGCTATGCGATTCGATGCCCTGTCTTGGGAGCGGCCCTTGTCGCCTTCTGCAGCGGATACGGACGCAGGCACAAGAGTCGCCGCCATGGCTGCAAGGGACGGACCATCCGCTGCTGGTGATGCGAACGCGAGCGCACAAGCGGAGAGGTCGCTGGCCGCCCCGACGGAGCCCAGCACATCGTCCGCCTCCAGTCCCGGTCCTGCCCGACACCTGGGCAAAGAAGCAGAGCAGGCAGCGACATCGGCCGTCGACGGGACGATCCGCCCTTCCGATGCCGACCACCTCGTCCGATACCAGCAGCCTCTGCCCCCCGTCGTGGCAGCCGCGAGGTACGGCCAGCATCCGATCTCGCCAGGGCTGCGGGGGCGAGGAGCGACGAGCACCGTGCAGGACGACCTCGAAGAGATGATCGTCGCTGCCGAGGATGGATGGGTGCCTCGGGACTGGTACAGGGCGCTGCTTGACGAGATGCCAGAGAGACGGCAAAGGGCGAGGAAGCGCGGTCGGAAGCGACGACGTCGTCAAGCCGGCCAAGCGAGAGCGGAGGTGGATGCAGATGCGGATGCGGATGCGGATGGGGATGCGGATGCGGATGGCGGTGAGGATGCGCAAGGGCGGGAGGGCGTGACGCATCTGCCGGAGTGGGAAGTGGTGCACAGCGACGAGGAACTCGAGTTCAGTCAGCTACCCCAACCTGCCGCGAGGGCAGGCGACGCCCACGAGTCTGCCGCTGGCGAGCGGGATGGGATGGACGTCGAACCCACCTCGCCGACCGAGACGGACAGAGACGCCGCCGCCGCCGACGACGACGGGTGGGACGAGGAGGAGGAGACGGCCATTGACCCGAGACTGGTCTCGCCGCGACCGACGAAAAAGCGGCGGATCGACGACGACGCGACATAGAACGGCCCCCCCTTGACTTGACTGGCTGGGACCTTGGAATCATGATCACCTTGAATCTACGAGAAGGAGAGGATACAAATACATGGCTCTGTGGCGAAGGGGGGGCGGATGGGCGGGGCCCTAGAAGGTGCTAAGGCATGATACGCTCGTTTTTCGGGAGCAACGTCGGGGGAGACGAAGGGAGGTAGGGAGGTCGGAACGTGTGCACGACGGGCGTGAAGATGGGGGCGTGCGGGGGGGCTCCACTTGCTAGTCGTCCTTGCGCGCCGACGCGGGCGGCGGGCTGCGCGCGAGCATGCGCCGGTCGACGTCGTCCATGTCAATGCTGACCTGCCGCAGCCTTTCGCGCGCCAGCGCCTCGGCGCGCGCCGCCTTGCTCCCGACGATCTTGCAACGCTCCCTCTCCCTCTCCCTCTCGCTGGCTGACATTGGCATGGAGCCGGACGTCGAGCCGGACTTGGCCTGTGATCGTTTTGACGACGACGACGATGGAACGGTGGTGGTGGTGGTACCCCTCGAGGTGGATGAGAAGCCGGACGTGGCTCGCCACTGACCGGTCGTAGCGTTTGAGTTTGAGTGCAGCGGCGCGTCTGGCGAGGACGACGACGAGAGTAGGCCCGACTTTTCCGTCGTCTCTTCCTCTTCCCCCTCCTCGTCGTCGTGGTGATCTGAACGCGTCTCTTCGCCGTCGTGGTCCGAGTCGGGCATCGATGAGTCGCCGAAGCGATACAGGACCCAGCATAGGCCCAGCACGACGAGCACCGTCGGCACCACGATGAGCAGGATCGACACCGTCTCGATCGATACGCCCGCTGCCGTGTGCACCGACGACTCCTGGGCCCCACCGGCTGCTGCAGAGGTCCGGGTCGTGAGGCTGCGTTTGTTGTCGGGGTCGAGAACGGAGCAGAGGCGGAGGTCAGAAGGAGGGAGCGTGAATCAGACCTGAACCCACGCGACGGATCGAAGCAGCACTCACTCGACCATGTTGCGGAGTCCCGGCATGTCGTGCGATCAGTGCCTTTGGTGAGCCGACCTCGAATGAAAGATGAAAGGCAGAGAGGGACTTGATGTGCGCGTCAGAAGATTGAGAGGCCGGCTCGGCGGGCGAAACTCGGTCGACGAGCCACGCCCCGAGGTGATGGAGATGAGCCAGTCGGTGGTGGTGGTGCGCAGGGGAGAGAGGGACGAGCGAGTTCGACCTGTAGATGCTCGAGACGTGCTGGATCGTTTGACGGCGTTGCTTGCGTTGGTCGTGACGAGGCGGAGCGGAGAGTCGCGGGCGAGTGGATATGGCGCGAGGAGCGGGACGGAAAGGGGGCCACTGCAGGCAGCTCGGAGCGTGGGGAGCCAAAGCGGCCAGACCGAGGCTCAGGTCCAGCGGCGGGTCGGGGCACGTGGAACGCAGCCGTCGGTCGGGCCCGAGATGAGCGTCGGTGCCGGAAGTCGGAAGTGTCTCGGACAAGGAGGCAGGCAGGGCGCGCCGCTTGGACCCTGCAACCAGCGCTGCCATCGGGTCGGAAGAGGCGGCACGGGCCAGGCCCGACAATCAAGGTCCTCGTCGCCCAGCCGCCCTGGAACGACTACTGCGAGTGCGCTGGTGCAGGCAAAGAGCAGGAGGGGGTGGTGGTGGTGGTGGTGGTCATGCGGAAAGAGGACGAGCACGAGGCTAGGGCCCGGTCATCCCTGTCTCGGTATCACCGCTGCTCCGAGTGGCAGGCAAGCGGAGAAACACCGTCGCCTCTTGACGTGGACATCGAGCTGTCTAGCGTCGAGCGATGACTGGTGAGCCGCGCACGAGATGGATCCAGCTGCCCGCTTGCCTGCGACTGCGAGAACTTAGATGGGTCGTCGCCGGACGCGCGAGGCTCGGTCCGAGGGCCGATCCAGGCCTATACGGAGGCCGATGACCACGACCACGACCGTTTCGCACCTAGGCCACGGGATGGTCCGGCGGTCGGGTGCGCGTGAGAGAGCCAGCATTGTGCACAGGCGCCTGCCCTAGCGCGTGCCTCAGCAGGGTCGGCCCTTTCCTTTGTCCTTCCGGGACCGGCCCGTACTCCGCCTGCCTGCCTGCTTCGTCTGCGGAAGCCCGTGACGCCTGCTCCGGCCCACGCACGCTGTGGCGGTGTAGCGCCGCCGCCCCTCCGGCTTCCAACGGCACGGTACGGATCGGCCCGCTCTTGAGGCCATCATGATCAAGCCACCATCGTCGTCGGCATCCAGACCTAAGCACCATGGCTCGACGCTGTACCCCGCCGTCGATGTAGGAACAGGCAGGCAGGCGAGCAGGCAGGCAAGCAGGCAGGCAGCAGACCAGGCTGAGGCTAGGTCAGGGTCAGGGTCACGGCCACCGTACGGCCAGGGCCACGGCCAGGGTCCAGCGTCCAGCGTCCAGAACGGGAGCGGCGAGGCGGCGGGTGGCTCGCTCGCTGAGTAGGCTAGGCAGGCAGGGTGCAGATGCTGGAAAAAGGGGGACAGGCAGGCAAGCGGGCGGGCGGCGGGCATGGCATGGCATGGCATGGCCAAGGATCGGGAATTTTTTCCCGCTGGCTTCGCGAGCAAGCAAAGGCCACGAAATTTCGCCTGTCAAAAAAGGGCGCCTTGGGCGGGCCTGACAGCTGGCTGGCAAACAGCCTGTTCGGCGAGTTTTTCGCTCCTGCCCGCCTGCCTGCCTGCCTGCAGCTCGGCCCTGGGCAGCCAATCGACGATACCGTATCGTTCGACGAGCGACAGGGACGTGGATGGCCGCCCTTGTCGTTGTCGCCGACCGCTAGCCTTTGGCTGCTTTTCGAAGAGCAGCGCTACGGCCTTTGCGGTTGGACAGAGGGAAGCGCCGAGAAGAGGCGGCAGGGCGAGGTAGGGAAGCACCCACGTACCTACATACGGCACACGCACACCACCCTACGTACAGGTAGGTAGGAACGCGTGGCCGGCCAGACCGGTGATGCGGTGCATACTGTACGGCCTCGCCTGCCTCGCAGCCAGCGTGCAGCGCCCCACGGTCAGACCACGCCGACATCGATTCGATGAGCCTAGAGAGAGACAGGCGACCCACCCTCGCCACCAGCTTCCGGGGCCAGCGCGAGAAGCTGGTCAATCGTCGATCGAGTGGCAAGCCAACGGCCCGAGCTGCTCCCGAGGCGACATGCTAAAATCGACCTGGCCTGGCTTGGTCTGGCCTCCGCAGCGAGCGATGGACGATGCCGCGTGTCCTCGGTGACGCAGACAAAGCTGCGAGCGGGACCGCTTCGGGGCGGTGAGGGCGTAGCCACAGTAGCCTGGCCTACCTGCTGGTGGTGGCGGCTACGCTTTAGCCCCGCCGTACGCTATCGGCGGGATGACTACAGATACTCACCCACCCTGGTCTATCACGGCGCAGATCGAGCGACCGCCCAGGAGAGCACATGCACCGCCGCCGCCTCACCTCGCTCGTGCACCAGGCCGGATCACCAGCACCGCCGCCAGCCTGGCAAAGAAGCCAGCGAGCTCCCTTCTCGACGTGCCGTACTCTGCGCCCTTTTGTACGCACGCACTGCGCCTTCCCCGAATGGCAGCTGATCGAGCCGCACATATGTACATGTATGTACGCATCAAAGGGATCCTCCCGTGCAACCGGCCGGCCATACCTGCCTGCCCGCCTATCCGTTTCATAGGAGGAGCAAACAACCTCACCTTCTCTGCCATCCCTGTCTTCCCTTAAGACCGTCGCCGTCTCGCCACCGCTCCCGCCATCACCGCCATCGCCATCACCGTCGCCACCACGCCCCTACACTCTTTCTATCTCTTCCTGGATCCCGGACTCTTCAGCCTTGCGACTGCACTCAAAGGGCCTCGAGGGCCTGCCTCTCCTTTGGCTCTCTCATACATCACCATGACCCACTTCTACCAACCCATCCCGTCCAAGGAGTCGTCGGCGGCCAGCTCACCGAGGACACGCCAGGCCGACTTCCCTTCCTTTCACTCGTCGCTCGATGACCTTCATTCCACCGCCGAATTTGCATCCCGGACGCTGTCCCCACCCGCCAAGCGCGAGGCGAGGGTGTGGAAGTGGACGACTGTGGTGAGTTCCGACCGCCACTCTGTCGTAGTCCTCCAAGAAGAACATCGACTGATCATTTTCCTTCCCGCCGTCATCTTCTGGGGCCTTCTCACTCGCTGTGCAGCTGCTGGCCATCGCAGTCGTCTGCCTGCTCGGATCGCGCTTCACCACGTCGCCTGCGGCACCAGTCGTTGCCAGTCATCCCCTCGATGCCGTCACAGAGCTGGCCAACCAGACCGGCCCAGCCTCTGCCTCCACCCCCGCTCCTTCTCCCGCGGCTGCACCCTACCGCCTCGAGGATGACATGGTGTTGATCACCAAGTCTGGCTCAGCGACCATCTACGAGCGCTTCCTCGTGCACCTGCAGGCGGCGCCCAAGACCCTCTACCAGCCCAACACGCTCTATGTCTCGGACCAGGCGCTCGACGTGGGCGGCGTCACGTTCTGGGACGCCCTCTCGGCCGTCTCGCCCCGCATCGCGCAGAACGACGAGTTCCGACGCCTCCGCGCCGAGTCGACGGGGCTCATGCACGGCTCGCAGCTCCTGACCAACACGCAGGACAAGGAGGCGGGCTGGAAGCTCGACAAGTTCAAGTTCCTCCCCATGATGGCCGAAGCCTACCGCCGCTTCCCGGGCAAAAAGTGGTTTGTCGTGGTCGAGGCCGACACGTTTGTCTTTTGGCACCAGCTGGTCCGCTTCCTCTCGACGCAGGATGCGGCGCGCCACCTCCTGTTTGGCCACGAGGTCCTCGTCGGTTTCGACGGTGCGCCCAACACGCCCTTTGCCCACGGCGGCTCGGGCTTTGTCGCATCACGCGGCCTCCTCGACGCCTCGTTTGGAGCCGATCCGGACTTTGAGCACAAGTGGGACGATCTGCTGCTCCACAACGGCTACGGCGACGCCGTACTCTGCAAGGCGCTCTGGGACACGCCCGGCGTCAACCTCACGGCCCTGTCGCGCGTCGACGAGGTGGGCGTCGACATGTTCCACGGGGACTCGTTCCGCGACATCCAGTTTGGACGCTGGGACTGGTGCAAGCCCGTGCTGAGCTACCACCACGTCTCGCCCAACGACGTCGCGCGCCTCTACGACTTCCAGCGGCGCATCGAACGCGTCCTCCCGCCGGCACCACCGGCTCCTCGAGCCTCGTCGGGGTCGTCGTCGTCGTCGGATGCTGTCGGCAGCAGCAATGGTGACAGCAAGGACGAGAAGCACGCGGCGGCGGCGGCCGAGTTCAACCACATGATCCTGCACTCGGACGTGTGGCACGAGTTCCGACCCAAGTTCCTCAAGGACGCCCTCGACCGCGTCCGCGCCAACGACGGTGCGAGCGAGGAGGTGGCGGTGCGCGGCTGGCGGTCGCTGACGCGCGACGACGACGCGCACCACGTCGATGCGCTCGATGCGCTCCAGTGCCAGGCCATCTGCCGCAACGACGTCGAGTGCCTGCAGTGGACCTTCATCCCAAACGGCCAGGAGGAGGACCTCAAGCCGGCACGCCCCGACTTGGGCACGTGCAGGTATACCACCGACCGCATCCGCATCGGCACCTACCGCCCGGACCTTCCCACCCTCTTTACCGGCTGGTTCGTCAAGCGGATCGACGACTGGGGTGTCGTCCAGGGCTGTAGCCAGCAGAGGCTGTCTGGACCCGTATCGCCCTAGATTGTCAGAGGGTGGCTCTGCGGTCCCCGGGTGCCTCTATCCAGTCTTGGCCTCGTCGACGTCGCCTCTTGCGCTCCGTGCGCTCCGTCCGCTCCCTTCCGTTCACCTTCATCAGACCCTGTACTTGTATCTAGAAACACCAGACCAGATCGGATCGGATCGAGACCCGACCCTGGCCCCTCTACATCGCGCCGTGCGCGCTTCATTCACTGTACTTCTATCCCAAGCATCGCAGCAGCATCCCGACTCGAATCGCACATCCGTGGTCCTGCCTCGGTAATTTAGTTGTCGTCGGAGTCGGTGTGGTTCCGATGGCCGGTGGACATGCTGTCGAGCCGAACTCGGCAGAGGGTGCGATCTTGACGTGCGAGGGCGGTCCTCAGTAGAAGCCGACGGTGTGCAGGATGGGATGCGGGTGGGTCTCCTGGTGCCGCTCGAGGATCTCGTCAATGTCGCGATCGACGTCGTCGGTCGCTTCGATCTGTCGTGTCGCGGCATAGTCGAGACAGGCAAATCGGCGTGTGGGGGTCAGCTCACCGCAAGGGCGAGGGCGGGGCCGGAGCGAGACGAGATGGGATGAGAGAAGGAGAACAGGCGACACTCACGGCTCTTGCCAGCTCGAGGATGGCCTTGCCCGCGACGAGGGCCTCTTCGTGGTTGTCCTTGATCTCGACATTGATGACGTGGACGGGTCGATTCATCTCTCCGCCGCGGTTCAATAGATCTGCTCGCAGAGAGCGTGCGTGTGCGAGTGTGAGGTTTGAGAAAGCGGCGGGAAGGGAGCTGGGTCAGAACAGCCGCTGGGCACGCGGATGGCACTGCCCTCTGGCAGCTTTGACCCACCCTCGCACACGCTGTCAAAACAGCGTTCCTCGCAGGTGATGACAATGTCGGCGACGTTTTTGCTCTCGTGCCACCGCTCTGGCGCCAGCTTGACCTTGCGGTTGCGGTCGAGCATTGTCAGCAGACCGTTTGCCTGGTACCTGCGGAAGCAAATCAGAACATGACGGTCGCAGCGGGTGTCAGCGTGGCACAGAACGTGCGGAGCTGGGCCGAGGTGCGGTGCGGCGGCTGTCACGTACAGCCGTGGGTCCTGCTTGACGAGGTCGTTGTAGATGTCGTCGTAGGGCGTGCCGAAGCGGTAGATGTTGGGCTGGTATACCGTGGGGCCGGGCAGGCGCACCGCCGATCCAGTCCCTGCGGATATCACGTTGAAGCCGGCGTTTCTGCGGGGTGTGGTCGCAAGCGGCACGAAGAAGAGGGAGAGAGGATGGATGAGACAAAAAACGACCTCGAGGCATGGTGCAGCGCGCAGCTCGGGGCTCACTTGAGGACATGGTGCGCTTCCATGGAACGGTTCTGTGAGAGAGCAGGGGGGGTTCGGGTTGACGGCACAGAAGAGGGATGAGGAGGCGGTTGGATGGAGTAGGACGGGCGGACGTCGGCGACGTACCTGGTTGCTGGCGCATACGACGCAAAAGAGGGTGCCCACGCGTGTCGCCTCTTCTATGGATGCGCCAGACTCGAGCGCTCCCCTGACTGCGGACTCTGCTGCTGAGCCTGGTTGGATCGAGGTGTTGGATCGTATTTGGGCGAGGCTGTTTTCCGTGTTGCGCTGCTGCTGCTGCTGCTGCTGCTGCTGCTGTTGTTGTTGCTGCTGGAGGTGGTAGTGTTGCTGCTGCTGCTGCTGCCATGCTGGCGGCTGAGACGGTCCCGGATCCATGTTGAAAGGCTGTGCGAGGATGTCGGTCAAGGGGGGATGGCAAAGGGAGCGGGGAGCGTGGTGAGCAGGTAGGGTGCGCAAAGGCAGGTGAGCGAGCGAGGCAGTGGAGGGAGACCCTTGGCCAAAAGGTCGACCGGCCGACAAGCGGAGAGCGCTAGGCGGACGGCTGAGCAGCTCTGGGCCGACTTCCGGGGTCTTCAGCCACGAATCGGGGGACTCGAGCCTGAGCAAGCAAGCAAGCCTCGTCGGCCTTCCCGATGGCATGAGGCGAGGTTGTCGGGCGCATAGGCAGCAGGTGGCATGGCGAGGCAAGGGGGTCTCAGCCAGGCAGGTCAGGTTGGGTCAGGCTACGCCCCCAGGCGTGGGCTGCCAAGACCTCGGTTGGCCCGATTTGGGCGGAAATCTGTTGGGACGAGGTTCGGGCACCAAAGCAAAGCAAGGCACGCAAGAGCGAGCTAAAGCAGGCAGGAAGAAGGCCGGATGTCTCCCGGCGCACCCCACTTGCTACGCCCCCCGCCCTGCCTTGGCCCTCCCCGAAAGGCTTGGCACGGTCTCACGTTCTCGTCGCCTGCTCCGTCCATCCAGCTAGTGCAGCCGCTGCAGCAGCGATTAGCGGAAAGAAGCGATTGACGGCGAGCGGGCGAGATGATATGGTCGGATCCTCTGGCCGCAGCTGGCGACGACGGCGAGCAACGCCCGGCCCGGCCTCGGTGGTGCGGTGCTGCTTTTTTGGGCGGGCGACTCGGATGACGTCTGGATGCGCGCAACGGCCCCCCACGCGGGAAGCGCCACCTCGTGTCGCCCCCGGCCCTCCCTCGCCCGCGCCCTCGCCCTCGCCCTTTGCCTGGCCCTGCCACCACCGAAGACCGGCGGTCCGATGCTCCGCCCCCTCGAGTTTCGAGGAGCGAGGCCATGACGAACCTTCAGAGAGAGCGCCGGGCCTTGCCAGCCAGGCCCGGCAACCCTACCTCGGCGGGCGCGCCGACCGCATCGTGACCAGCGTCCATCATATCGGTCGAGTGCGGGCCCGTTGCCGTTCTTTCCTTTCCTTTCCTTGGCTTGCTTGCCCTTCCTCTTGCCTTCGTTTCCGCGAGCTCCTCGTCGTTGCGCTCAATCCTTCTCGGTGCCAAGAAATCCTCGCCGTAGCTGCCTCGTCTCTGATCTGGACAACGAGCCTAAGGCAGGCCCTAGCCTGCCACGACCCTCGTCTAACTTTAGCTCTGCCAAGCTCGACCCTGCCTGCTTAGACTCGCAACGTACTCGACTCGACTCGACTCGACTCGACTCAACTCGACTCTACTACTCGACCTCGCCCACCTGCTGGCTTGCTTCGACAGCCTTGTCCTCGGTCTGCCCTCTTCGATCCACCGTGTCGATATTACGGAGCCCTCCCCGCTCTACCAGGCAGGCCCCCTTCTTTGGCCTTTGTCCTTCATCTCCCACCGTCGTGATTGCCGCTCCATCAGCTCGAACCTCGTACGTTGCGCCGCCCTTCCATCAATCTGTTACAAGCCGTCGTCGACGCCTACCTCTGGTCGTCCGTACTACCATCCTCTTGCTCTCCAACGGCCTACGCCCCGCACCATCGGCCCTCATCCCGGCATCGGTCCGACGTCCGACATCGACCCTGCGACACACGTAGCCGGCCCGGGACGCTCCCGGCACGGACCCCCTCGACGACGTCAGCAGTGCCTGGCCAGCAGCGCCACCGGCTCGGTCAGCAAAGCAGGCCCCGCAGAGGACACGGACCCATCCTCGTCCTGCCCATAGACAGACGCGTGTACGCCGGCGACTCTGTCCACGACTGCCAAGAAACGCCCTGGTACCAAGGTCGAGGGCGAATGGCAGCGCACGGCTGCCATTGTTGCGATATTAGCCTTCCTCGCTCTTGACCCACCGTAGCGCGGGGCTTGGCAAAGCTATAGAAGGTCACGACAGCTTGGCTCGGCCTCCAGCAGTCGCCCCGCAGCGACATTCCGTCTCCTTAGGCAACACACGCACTCGCCTGCCCTCCTCCGTACAAAAACGATAAAGCGGAGCGAGCCCCCATCGCCACTGCAGGACCGCACCAGCCTCGGCGATCCTCGACTCGTCGCCCGCTCGTACCGCCCGTCTCTTGCCCTCCGCTAGCCGGCCGCTGTCCCCTCGTCACCATGACCTCCGTCGCCCGCCGCATCGTGTCGGGCCAAAAGGCCCGCTTCAAGGACCCCATCCTCTCGCTCGACCTCGACCTGGTCTATGTCACCGACAACATCATCATCATGGGCTTCCCCGCCTCGGGCGTCGCATCCCTCTACCGCAACAGCCGCTCCTCGGTGCGCAAGTTCCTCGATCACCGCCACGAGGACCTCTACCGCATTTACAACTTCTGCCCGCGCGCAGAGAATGGCTACGACGCAGACTACTTCTACGATCGCGTCTCGAGGTACCCCTTTCCGGACCACCATGTGCCGCCGCTCTCGATGATCCCGCTCTTTGTCGCCGACATGACAGAGTGGCTCGAGTCGGACCCGGACAATGTCGGCGTCATCCACTGCAAGGCAGGCAAGGGCAGGAGCGGCACCATGACCTGCTGCTACCTCCTCTCGCTCCCCTACCTGCCGAGCCCGCCGCAGAACCTGCGCAACTATAGCGAGCTTCGCCGTCCGCCAGCTTCGCCCCCGGCCGAGGCCGAGGACGAGGCAAACGGGCGGTACTGGGAGAAGCAGCGCCACCACCAGCGAGTCCCTACCGACGGCTCCGACTACTCGTCTCCGGCGCTCCGCTCGCCGCCTTCGGCACGGCGCGACTCGGCCGCCTACGACGACGAGGAGCGCGTGCAGGGCGACCATACTCACGTCGAGGAACTGGCCGCCAAGTTGCAGGCCGTGTTCGCCCTTCATACTTCGCGCAGGATGAAGCCGCCTGCGTCGTCGTCGTCATCGTCGTCATCGGCAGCGGCCAACCCATCTCAGGCCAGCACTCAAACGCTTGGCCGGAGATCGGTGTCGTTCGTGCGCAGCTCCGCCTCGTTCGCCAACCCGAGCCAGGCCGACCTCTCGACGGCGCCGCGCAGCAACGGCACCAACAAGAGCAAGTGCACGCTTGGCGCGACCCCCGCTGGGCGCTCCTGCGACGCGCTCCACCTGTCCGCGCTCGACGTGCCCGCAAGCGGCTTTGGGTCAACCGCTTCGCTCGCGCCGCCTCATGCGGGTACGATGCCCAAGCTAGGGCGCTCGCAGTCGAGCTTCGCCCTCAACCAGAACACCGAGGATCACGGCGAGGCGAGGCAGCCCAAAATGGGCGTCTCGATCCCTTCGCAGCGTCGCTGGGTGGGCTACTGGGCGCGGATGCTGGCCGGCCTCGACGCGCGGATTTCCATCGCACACCCGTACTCGACGCCGCCCCGCCGCAAGGTGCGCATCACACGCATCTCGATCGACCGGGGCCTCGGCAGCGACGTCAAGACGGCGGCGGGGCTGGTCAACCGCGTGGTGCCACACTCGGACTCGCTCTCGATCCAGCTCGGCCGCTACCCGGACGCCATGGTCGACCGTCTGGAGCGCTGGGAGCGCGGTGCGCGCCGACGCTATCGCGCCTTTGGACCGCACGACCCGTCGCTGCACGCGTGCGATCTCGACCCGGAAATGCAGCAGCAGAAGGAGTACCTCAAGAGCCTGCGCAGCAACTCGCAGAATCTCCGCTGCTGGAACGGTGGGCGCTACCAGAGGCCAAAGGACGGCTCCGAGGCCATCGGCCAGTGGGGAGTCAACGTCCATGCCGAGGCCGACACGGCGCGTAACTTTGAGTGGAACGACGCCAGCGGCGAGTCTGAAGAGGGCCTCGTCTACTTTTCGCTCGTCCCGGAGCGGGAGCGCAACCTGATCGGTTCCGCCAGCGCTTCCGTCGACGATCTGGACCAGGGAACGGCGCAAGATGCCCTGTGGCGGTACGAGTTCCTCCCGCAAGGGCAAGACAGCAAGGGCCGCAAGCAGTCGGCCGCCAGCTGCGACTCGGGCTACATGTCATCGCAGTCGCCGGACCGAGAGGCCGGCGATGCAGCGCCATTGACGGCCGCGGCGGCGACGATCAACACGAGGCACAGCGGCGGCGGCGGCGGTGGCGGCGTCGGCCACAGCTCTCGAGGTCTGAGCGCTTCGGATGGAGAACGCGACGGATCGCCGACCAGCTATCTCGATGCAAAGCGCAGCACACTGTCGCCTTCCGGTCCTACCGCACCAGCCGGCCGCGACGCCCCCTCTCTCCTTCGCCGTGCCTCGTCGTCGCTGATGCGGACCATCAGCAAGTCGACCGCGAGGTCCGAAGGCGTCGCCGCCAGGGCCGCGCCCGGCGCTGCGGACGCTGAGCCTGCCAGGGCTCGACAGGGCGCAACGACGCCACCCTCGAGCAACGGCTACGTCCCGCCCGATGCGCACACTGGGCACCACGTGGGGCAGGTCCTGGATGCCGATCGCGAGGTGCTCGTCAAGATCCTCGTGGGCCGGACGGGCAACAAGCACGCCAAGCTGCCAGACTTTGCCGCCGTCGGGTGGGTGTGGCTCATTCCGTCATTCGAGGACCCGGTGTCGTCGCGCAAGGGCGGCAAGCCCAAGGTAGGCAGCCGGACCGTGGTGCGCTTCGGCAAGGACGAGATCGACTTCCGCAAGGACCCCGTCGGCGTGGTCGGCGTCGAGATCGAGTGGGAGTGGATCGAAGTCGGCGAGGACGACGACGTGGACGAGGACGAGGAGGGCGAGACGGTCGAGGTGGTCCAGACCGAGGGTGAGACGCGGCAGCCCGAGACGTTGAGGAGCCTGTTTGACCGCGAGCAAAGGCAGCGGCAGTAGCGAAGGGGCGGGACGGGACGCGAGGGAGGACGGGCATATACATACATATCCGCAGTCGGTCTGCACCTGACCTGGATCTGAATAGAAGATACATAGATAGACGGCCAGAGGCCACCTGGCTCGGGTCTGCGAATCTAGGCGCTGCTCATCGTCGACCCTGGGCGTGTCTCTCGGACGCTGCGGTAGGACGCGGAAGCGGGCTGGAACCGTCCCTCGACGACGACGAGCGCGGGCAGGACACAGAGAGGCACCTAGTTGAGGGCCCCAAGGAAGGTCTCGAGTGAGAGGAGGTGGGTATCCAAATTGAGCGTGAAGGGAGGCGTAGCAGGGGGGCGTGATAGCAGTACATGAGTAGACGGAGCGGGCAAGAAAGAGCAAGGGGATGGAGCGTCTGTCGGGCTGGCACGGCAGACGAGGCCTCAGAAGAACGTCCACTGGCCAATTCTCTTGAACCACCGCACCGTCTTTTCCCGCGTCGTCGTAGGCGTCTTCGTCGCTCCCTTCTCGCCCTCGTCCTCGCCCTCGCCCTCAGCCTGGCCCTCCTCGTCCTCCTCTGCGACATCCTCCAACGCCTCGCCCTGGGCCATCCTCTCGCTCCTCCTCATCTTGCGCTCGTAGGCCATCGTGTCGGTGTACAGGTCGACCTGGTGGAGCGCGACGAGGCGGGTGCGTTTCCACACCTTCCACGCGGCAAAGCAGAGGAGCATGAGGAGGATCTCGACGTAGTAGCTGAAGAAGTCGGAGACGTTGAAGGGATCGAAAGCCGACCAGCCCTGGACGAGGATCATAAAGGTCGACATGACGATGACGACGTAGGGTCCCCAGGGCTGCGTCCAGTTGCGGTAGGGCAGCGTCGACAGCTTGCCCTGCACGATGAGGGCGCGGCGGAAGCGCACCGACGAGACGCCAATCGAGAGCCACGAGAGCTGGTTGGAGACGCCGACCAGGTTCTGCAGCCACGTCCACACCTGGCCCGCGCCGATGTACGACGAGCCGAAGCAGAGGCCCGAGATCGACGACGTGGCCAGCAGCGCGACCCAGGGCACGTGCGTCGTCTTGGACACGCGGCCGAACACGGCCGGCGCCTGGCCGTTGATGGCCATCGAGTGGAGCAGCCGCGTCCCGGCGTACAGGGCGTGGTTGCCCGCCGACAGCACCGAGGTCATGACGACGGCGTTGATAAAGTTGCCCGCGACGTTGCTGCCCAGCTGCTCAAAGACGAGCGTAAAGGGCGAGATGCTGGCGTTCTTGCCCCCCGAACCCGTTAGGCGCGGATTTCGATAGTCGATGTCGATGCCGATGACGAGCAGACTCAAAATGTAGAAGATCACTATGCGCCAAAAAACGTTGCGGATCGTCTTTGGGATCGTCTTTGTCGGGTTCTTCGTCTCGGCCGCCGTGATGCAGATGCTCTCGGTGCCGCCGAGGGCAAACGAGGCCGTGACAAAGACGCTGGCGAAGCCGCCAAAGCCGCCGACAAAGGGGGCGTCGCCGACGGTCCAGTAGCGGAAGCCGAGGTAGGAGCGCGTGTCGTTGACGCCGGCGTTGACGACGATGCCGGCGATGATAAAGACGATGATGGTGGCGATCTTGAGGAGCGAGAGGAGGTACTCGAGCTCGGCGTAGCCGCGCACCGAGACGACGTTGACGGCGACGAGGAAGACGAGGAAGATGAGCGAGATGGCCCAGCCGGGGAAGACATCGTTGGGCGTCCAGTACTGGAGCAGGATCTGGGCCGCCACGAGGTCGGCCGCCGTCGAGACGGCGTCGTTGAGCCAGTAGTTTGAGATGACGGCGAAGCCAAACGACTCGTCGACGAAGCGGCTGGCGTAGATGCCAAACGAGCCCGAGATGGGCATCAGCGCCGCCATCTCGCCCAGCGAGAGCATGGTGAGGTACACGACGAAGCCGGCAATGGCGTAGCAGATGAGCAGCGACGCCGGCCCGCCCGCCGCGAGCGACTTGCCCGTGCCCAGGAAAAGGCCCGTGCCAATGGTGCCGGCCAGCGCAATCATCTGGACGACGCGCGAGCTGAGCTTGCGCGCCAGCCGGATCTGGTCCGGGTTCGGCGGCCGCCCCTCGAAGCTGCCCGTGCTGACGATCGACGAGCCGACCGCCTTGGACGCCGTCTTTTCTAGCGACGGCGCGACCGTCGAGCGGGCGTCGTGGGCGGCGCCGGCGGCGTTCGGGCGTCGGGCGTCGGGACATGCTGTAGGCGAGTCTGGGCGCCGTAGCAACCTGGGCGAGGGGCGGCTANGGTGGT